AGGGCATTAACAACCTGACTGTAAGATGGAAAAGCATCATCGATAAGAATGAAGACTACTTCCTTTAATAAATGTTTTGTTTTGATAAATAAGTTGTTCGGATTTTTTTTTCATCTAAACAAAAAAAGCAACATTAATTTCTTGACGACCTAATACACACTATCTTCGAACTTTGTGTCACCGAAACGCTTTGCTTCTAAGAATGTTTAACTATTATGCAGTATTAAATATTTGAGACATTCGATATATATATACACACACACACACCAATTCTAACTTCCCCAATGACAGAGTGGTAATTCTGTGGACTTATACGCTAAAAACCGGGTTTTGATACCCAAGGTGGCCACAGCACAGCTAGCTCTTTGTGTAGTTTTGTGGTTAACTACAAACAAAAAACTTTTGTAATGCTTATAAAACTAAGTGAGACATATGAATTCTAATGTTTTGGTTTGGTGCTTGTTTCAGGTCTGTCTAGCTGATTCACTAATAATGGAACTTTCTGAACATATAGCCAAAGCTTTAAAGTGCTTGCAACTTACCAAGTTTGTAAGCATCTTTCCTTGTTGCGTTGTTTAATAACAAATTATTGTTTTACAACACGCGTGTTTAAAAATTCCTGAACTGTGTAATCTGCTTATTGCGTTTATTTGAGAATAAGTCCCCAGTGACACAGCGGTATGTCTGCGGACTTACAACGCTAGAATCCGGGTCTCGATACCCGTGATGGGCAGAACACAGATAGCCCATTGTGTGGCTTTGTGCTTAATTACAAACAAACAAAATTTGAGAATAAAACTGCACAATGGGTTAATTACTCTGCATCCGCCGTTAGAATCGAACCCTGAATTCTACGTCATAACTCACAAGCTTGCTGCAGAGCCACTGGTATACTTTAATTTGAGTTTTCTCCGGTTGCAGTTGTTTTAATAAAATATAACAAATTTGACGATACTAATAATTAGAACATCAGAACTGCTATAAAGATCGAGAACCTCGGGTTCAAAGTCTTTTGTGAATTTTATTTGAACTTATTCTTCGTTTGTAAATTTTCCATCATAACTGGACGTACAAATTTACTGCTTTCCATGAACCAGGATGTATCTGATATACTTTACTCTTCCGGAAAGAAGGAACAAGAACTTCTATACATTTTTAAACAGTGTTTCAACATCATAACTGGACGTACTAATTTACTGCTTTCCATGAACCAGGATGTATCTGAGGATACTTTACTCTCCCGGAAAGAAGGAACAAGAACTTCTATACGTTTTTAAACAGTGTTTCAACATCATAACTGGACTTACTAATTTCCTGCTTTCCATGAACCAGGATGTATCTGATATACTTTACTCTTCCGGAAAGAAGGAACAATAATTTTACACATTTTGTACAAAGTTTTGTTTTATTTGTAATTAAGCACAAAGCTACACAATGGGCTATCTGTGCTCTGTCCACTACGGGTATCGAAACCCAGATTCTAGCGTTGTAAGTCCGCAGATTTTTTACACAGTATTTCAACTGAAATAAATAAAGATGCTTTAGTTAATTTTTTTTCCGCATTCGTAAAATATGCTATTAAAGAATATCCGTTTTTGTCTTTTTAGATTTTATTTCTAATATAAGTTTTAAACTATCGAATTTTAATAGGTATCCATATTTTCGTCATTTCTTCAAAGTTACTTCTTTAGCTTTTATAATTTCCTCACTGGCTATTTGTATTTTCATGAACTTTGCTTTTTATAATTTTATTTATGATACCAGACAAATGAAAACAAACTTTGCGAAACTGCTTTTACCTTAATGGTTACGTGGCCTTATAATTACCGAACACTATCAAAACCGTTACGTGAAAAATTCAAATAAAAACTGGTTATGTCATAAACACGGACTAAAGAATGTTAATACTTCTTTAACTAGAAATGAGAATTAAAAATAAATTACTGTTTTGTATTTCGCGTATATTATACAAATTTAAATATGTTATTACCACAGTCTGCTTCAGAATGGCGTTATTTCACCAACATAAGTCAGTAATTAAACATTATACGTGTACGATCATATGTATAAGATCGCGCATTGACGAAACAGTTATATACATACCTGGGGCAAAACCTTGTACATTTGCTGTTATGTTTGTTTGTTTATTTTTGAATTTCGCGCAAAGCTACACGAGGGCTATCTGCGCTAGCCGTCCCTAATTTAGCAGTGTAAGACTAGAGGGAAGGCAGCTAGTCAT